AGATATTTATTTACCAATATTATCCACATATATTATACATAATAGTGGATTATATATAATAAAAAATCCTACTAACCTCGCGAGACACCACGCGACACGTACACATGTCACATTGCACGATTTAACACACGCGAAACTCGCCAAACTCGCCGCGATCTCGCGATCGCCGTCAATCTCGACCGCGCCGGCCAATCACGCACGCGGAAAAGCGGCAACACTACGTGCGAGATATTCGACTCGCAAAGCTCACTTCTCGGTCCAAATGGATTTTTTTATTATGGACTAGCACGCAGCGCGCGCTAACGCGCGCGCTTTCACTTCCAAACTTTTTCCGTTCCATTCACCTTAAAACACTCGTCCCACATTACCATTTCTCTCCGTTAAAATGTATTCTCTTTCTCATCCACTGTGCCAATGTCCATTCGCCACCACTCGTTTCTTTTTTTCTCTCCGCTCACTTCACATATCTGTCTCTCCCATATTTTGTTTTCTTCTTTCTTTTTACTTCTCGCATAAGACTTATCACACTTCGCTTTCTCGGCTCTCATTTTTCTTTTTCTTTTCTTTACACTTCACATTCGTTATCTCCTCCGCTTTTACTTCTCCCATTCTTCCTTTTTCTTCACTAATTATCTCTTCTTCCATTTTTTCAATATTTCCACCACTATATTTCCTCTACTATACTAATATCTAATCGTCACCACCTCCCATTCCTTTTCCCTCTCCTTTTCCTTTTCCCTCCTCCTCCACCCACCCTTCTTCCCCTTCTAATCTTTTTCTAACTCCCATCATTAAACCCTTCTCCTCCACCCACCCTTCTTCCCCTTCTAATCTTTTTCTGACTGCCATCATTATCCCACCTATTGCTCTTCCTTTTCTTCCAATTCTTTCTTTCTTTGCACCCTGTATTCTCCAGTTAAACTCCTTTGGCACCCTATCTCCCATTCCTCCTGTTCCAGCCACGTCTCCACCAACCCCACGACATCCCACTCTTTTATCCTTTCCCAAAATCCTTCCTATTTTCCCTTCACTCCCGCTACATTCCAAAAGACTATCTTTAGGCTCCCTTCCTGTTCCCTCCCTTCTCCACCCTCCTGCATTCCTTTCTTCCCCTTTCCCCCTTTCTCCCCTTTTTTTCTGTTTCACTCCTTTTTACTTTCCCCACTCTACTCTCCGACTCCTCTCCCCCTTTCTCTCAGCCTCTCCCCCTTTTCAAAACACTCTCTTCCTCCCTACTCTTTCTCTCCTCCCTCTTCTCTCCGCCCTTCCTTCCCATCGTTTTTCCTCCCTCCTCACTACCTTTCCTTTTCATTTTTCCGTCTTCCTCTCTTCTACTCTTTCCCTCCTTCTCTGTTCCTCTTTCTCTTCCCTTCTTTTTTTTGCTCCTCTCTTATTTTTCCTTTCATCTATCAAAACTTCTTTTTCCTCATCTCAACTCCACCACTTGCCCTCTATCCAAATCTTTCCGTACTTTACCCAA